GTGCATTAACATCTGGGCCCACATTTACCATGTCTTGTGTAATTGTGAGTCTATCTGGTTCTTCATTGCTATTAATCTGTACCTGATTTACCTCGACACACGACGGAGTATAAGATTTCAGCTCGCCCACCACTGGTAAAAGGTAGGCACGCGCTAGTAACTTACCGTTTTCTATTAAAACATCACCATTTGATATGTTTATAGCCATAATCGACCCAAAACCATGATTAAGATGGAATACACCTTGCAATATTATATGCTCGTCGTGTAGTTTTAAAGACGTACTACCTGGTATGTAGATATATCCCGTCTCGATTAAATCAGAACGTATAGGTATGCATTGAGTCCCTACCAACCTTATAGACTCGGCTGCGAATATATTTATTTTACACAACTCATTTTGAGCTGAATACAAAACTAGCTTTTCATTGGTCTTATGCACGATTACATAAGGTAATTCGGTTAAGTTCTGACCAATTAGTATATCCGTACTTAAGAAAGTATCATCGACAACATAGGCTTCAATCTCTGCCTCAACGAAGTCAATACTGACATCGATCATGGTACGGCCTATTGGTTGCGTAACCCCACAACCAAACCCCTTTATAACTGGTAAGTTATCACTTTTAACCGCAACATTTAAGTCATCTGCTGTACTTTTACTAATAATAGTGCATTGACTTCCAAAGTCTATGAAAGCATTTCTATCAGTTTCGTTTACTCGTATCTTTTTATGATAAATATTTAACGATTTACCTTGAGCTGTAATTTGTTGAACCTCCTTGTAATTATTACTCGAAGCCACCGAAGTTTTATCTTGTACATGCTCTCGTTTACAGTGCTCCGCAACGTGGCCTAAGCGTTGACACTTCGTGCACCTTTGCATAGGCTTCGGGCATTTCGGCACGGTATGCCCAACTTCAGAACAGTTGAAACATTTAACAGCGCGATTTATGCTCGGGAATTTAGTATTTCGGTCAGTGGGTCTGCCATTGCTTGTTTTATGGAGCGGGGCAGATCTTTTACTATCCAGCACAGGACGCACGTTTTTGACTGATATACTCCTCAAGTACCGTAATAGTTGACTAGGGCGCTTGAAACTTGATCCTTGTGCATTCAATTGTACATTATGGTCAAAAATGCCATGGATTATGCAATCAACTGCATCTTTACCTTTGATGTGGCATCGACTTACTAGCTTACTCTTCTCGTAAAAGTATTCCTCTAATGTCTCGTCTCGCCTGCTTTTCCTGTTCAGCATTTCGTTTAATCGGTCTGCGTAATTTCTATCGTCAGGAAAACATTTCAGAAGTTTTCTCTGCCAATCTTTCCAACTCAAGTCGATAGAGCTCAACCCTTCATACCACTTCCTGGCTAGACCAGACAACTTAGGTAACGCGTGATATATAATCTGTCTTTCTGTCCATCCGTAAATGATGGCTACCTCATTGACTTTTCTGAGCCAAGCCCTGGTACTTTGTATTTTCTGGCTGGGGTCAAATTGAGGAATGACCTCTTGAGCGCCGATAAATGAATTTGATCCTTGGTTATTCATAGCTTGTATGAAGTCCCGCATTATATTCTTCGACGAGTTACTACGGCTTTTTGCTCTTCTAGAGCGATCTTTTGAAGCGTGTCTACTCCTCGAACGAGACGGACGATATTGCGACCTCGAACTACGACTTCGTGTTCTTCTAGAGCGGTTCTTCGAAATGCGTCTCTCTCTTGAACGGTTTCTACGGTCGGATGATAAAGAACTATCACCGGATAAAGATCTACTTGCGGAAGACGACGTCTCCGTAACTGAGTAGTGCCGGCGATAATTTCTGCGACGGTCGGCCTTCCTCCCATCATGATGCATGCGCTTGGAGCTGTGACGGTAACGACGTCTCCTCGTATGTAGCTTCCTTGACGGCGAGCGACTCGTCCTGCTAGAGTGGCTACTGGTAGGACTACTAGTGTCCCTGCGCTTGTCCCCAGAGTGTTTGTGAATAAACGAAGATCGTGACCGATAACGTTTCATCGGTACGTTCGAGGAGGTCGTAATATCACTTTTACGTTTGTCCGATCTGCGACTATGAATTGGTGATGCATGTGTAGGTGTGTATCTGCTTTGATCAGTGTCCGACATTTTTATAGCTACGTCCATTGTTCTTTTAGGAAACCATTCATAGTCATCATTACCATATACAAAGTGTCATCACCATAAGCCTAAATGATATGGTAATGATGTTAATGGTAATGACGAAAACGATTTTAAAATTATATAAAAATAATTGTCACCACTATTGGGACACCTCAATATCGCCATTTTTTTATTGTAATCACATGCTACAAAGTGCTAATTATTAGAAAAATATCGATATATAAAACTTACCAAATCGCACAAAATGGGAATGACGCGAGCCGATGACAAACTGCGAGTGTCTCTCGTTTTCGGAGTTTAAAAAGTCTCGGAGCTGCGTAAATTTTACGTGCATTCTGTTCTGTTACGAGCAACGAATTGAAGAGTGGGACGCGCGGACACAAGCGGGGATAAGTCGCGTCGCGGCCACATTAAAGAACCTTTGATGCTGCCGCGATGGCTATGACGATTTCTCGTGACAATATTTCAATTCATGATTCCATTTTATTGGCTAATACGATTTCAATATAATTTTGTTATTTTGTCACGGTAAATATGTACATTTTAAATTTATAATCAAAATCTGGTCTGTGTATAGGTAAAGTAAAAAAAATTAAAAGACAACGGCAAAGGTCAGTATTTTTACTGTGATGGTAATGACGTTTAGTGCGTGTTTTCTTGATTATCGAAATAACTTGAAGTATTTAATCAATATGGATCATGGCGCCTTATGTGGAAACTTGTATGAATCGTTATTCAGAAGTTTAATTTACCAGAACTACAACAGTTTTTTTTTTATCGATCGGAACATAAGTTTTTTACTGTTTCGCGGATTTACCCGATAGCAATTTTGTGACCCGAGCGGGCAATCGCTAGTTCAAATTTTACACGAAGCCTCATATACTTAATATTTTGTAGCGATTCTTTATTGGGTTTCAAATTGACTAAAATGCGACGTTGCCAAACGAGCGCTACGGATGCGGGTAATAAGCAATACTCAATCCTAAATGCTTTACATAGAGCTTGGTTTGCTAGGGCAAACATCTACAGTGGTGCGCCGACGCTGCTTAGACCCGAAACATGAATGAACGGGGGCGGAGCATAATCGAGCGTGTGTGTGCAAACAATTTAGGCCCTTAAGGTGTCAAGGCGTTCGAGTCCCCGATAGTACGCGATTCTAGACTTATCGCTCGGCGGCCGCTGCCGCGGCGCGGCACGTTCGCTTCGCTCGCTGCGCTCGCTCGCTCACTCGCCTTCACGCTGTGTAAAGTCGCAAGTCTAACCTAAACTATAGCTTTGTTGTCCAACAAGTTTTTTAACACTTAAGGACTCGCTAATGGGTCTAAAGGACCCAGTTCTTCAATATTTGTGTAATAACTTTTAAAGTTTGGTGTTTGCGATGTTATCGCTCTTAGTACCTTTCCACGACATTGTAGCACAGCCAATAGCGGTCATAATCACAGGTCATAATCGTCAAATAGCCCACTGCATGTGATTGCTACAGACGAAAAATGTGTTTTTGAGTCCACTGGACCCGGTAAACAAAGTGATTTTTTAAATGTTCTATACAAATTTCTCATTAATTGTTAATAGGCAAATCATAGTAGTTTACGAAAATAAACAAGGTATTTTTTTAAATAATTAATTACAAAACTTTTCAAAAATAACCTTCATTTTGCCAAAAAACCTTCAATTTTTTAAATAAGTTATTATTTTAGAAAAAGGCAATAAATATGACTATTTGGTTTATTATTTTATCTTTGTTTATATCATATTAATATCCTTCTAATAAAGTAGTTTTCACTTTTATTTAAGTTTTTGAAAAATACATAGGATTTTATATACTGGGTCCACCGCACCTACTACTTGTGGGACAGCGCCCCGATTGCGCTAAATAAATATTTTCGACTCTAGTCGATTAGTTCGTTCGTTCGTTCGTTTCAGCCGAAAGACGTCCACTGCTGGACAAAGGCCTCCCCCAAGGATTTCCACAAAGACCGGTCCTGCGCCGCTTGCATCCAGGTACTTCCCGCGAGTGTCAGTGGGCGGGGCACATAGCTCGAAGAGCTGATGGCCGCTGGGGCAGGAAAGTTCTTGAGTGGCGACCACGAGCTGGAAGACGTAGCGTGGGCAGGCCTCCCACTAGGTGGACCGACGATCTAGTCGATTAGTAGTAGCAGATTTTTCAAACAAAAATCTGCTGTCTGCACGTCATATCCGTATCGCGGTGTCGCTTTGACAGCTATAAATGTAGTTCAAAGTTCCAACGATACTGTAACGTAAACGAAATGCAACTGCGTCTTTGTGTAAAAACTGAGCCCCGATTACGGTAATTTTTAACGTCAACAATCCAGACACGCTTCTCGATTCTGCGATACGATTGGTCGTTCAACAGCGTACGTCAGCTGTTTTGACCAATCGTATCGCAGAATCGAGAAGCGTGTCTGGATTGTTGACGTTAAAAGTTACCGTAATCGGGGCTCTGATAGAAAGTTAGAACTAAAGCTACTTTTTCTCAAACGCAAGTCAAACGCCTCACGAGCATTTTTTGCTGTTTTTAGTAAAAAATAAGGTGTTCGGACTTTTAATGGAAAGTGCTAAAATCCGTTGTTTCGCCTTGGTTTGCGCGTGAACTAAAGTTCAACGATAAACCGATACCGAATTGCACATCAGCTAAAATAAAAATGGAGCGTTACTGGAGTTTGGACTAGAGATGAAACGCGAATGAATTAGTACCTACACACCTAATCTACCTACCTATTTCTTATTATGACTGTAATTATGTAAGTAGTAGAAAACATTAGAAATTGTTTATATACCTACCTACCCTGTGTTGTGGCATTGAATGCTCAATGATAAAAATAGTACACGTCATGATACACATCTCACTCACTCTGTAGTGAGAAATATTCTAAAAATAAAAACGTCTGTTCCTTAGTGTACCTACTCGTGTCTATGGGTGTAAATAGGAAGAAAGTATATTTGCGTTTTAAATTACTTGTGTTATCCTAGGTAAACACGACAAAATTATTACGAACACCAAGGTAAGTTTTATTGTTAACGGTTTAACAATACTCGTAGGTACTTAAATGAAAGCTTGTGCAATGCGACGGGCTTTTATGAGGTTATCTGCAGCAGCAAATAAGTACCTCTCACAAATCTGTTTTTAGAATAGATATGTTAGTTAGATTTTCTGTTCCCAAGTTTGTTGTTAAAATAACTAATCACATAACAACTCGTACCTATTTATCTACCCACAACGTATTAATTTTCATTATTTTGACTTCAGGTAGGATTTCATTTTACTTTTCGAGTTTTTTTTCATTTTCAGGAGGATTATTATAATATTATGTCACGATACAAGCAGCCACCAACATTAGAAAATCTGGCTATAAACAGCCTGGGCGACTGGGTGGCATGTCAAGCTGAGTTACAAATGAAACCATTTCTTGCACTGTCGCACAGAGACCCGGGTGCAGCTTACGAGGCATTAAGCAAAACGGTGGACCGATTACGATCTATTTTGGAATACAATGTACCGTGGATGCTTCACGACGTCCTAGCAAAAGAAGCCATTAGGGCGCTGTCGGAACTCATGGAAAATATTAAAAAGTCATTTGGATTTCGTAGTGCTATGGAGAAATTCGCAAGTAAAATGAATATGGTTGTAAAAATGGCTGAAGTTATTTTTACAAAATACTTAACGTTTCTCTCAATAGATAGAATACCAATAAAGTTGCGCTCTGTGTTCTATACCAAACTGCATTTACTCACAGGACTTGTTTATCTGAACTTAGGATCATTATCTGGAGGATGGAAAACAGCCGATTTGGAGGGATCTATCATTCAATCTCTGAAAGAATTACACTGTCTCAAATATTTAGTTATTAATTATGATTGTACAGATAACATATTAAAATGTGTGGTAGACAACTGCAAATTGATGGAAAAGTTGGATTTGTCTAGTTCCGGCAGTATAACGAATAGTAGTATAGACATCATTGTTAAACTTAAGCTTTTAAAGAGTGTTCAGTTATATAGAACATTAGTGTCATTAGAAGGGTTTGCAAATTTGCTTTTGAATTGCCACAACTTAGAAGATATTGGCCGATGTGACAACATTGGTAAAGTCCTCGAATACATACAAAGCTATATTGACCCAAGCAAGACATTTAAGTTAAGAATGTACGTCAGTCGATATGCGTCTGGAAGTCATTTACAATTAGCCGTACAAATGTGTCCAGAGATCAAGAGTATGACGGTTTACCACAATACGTTACAGAGCGACCTCATGGTTCTGATTGGTTTAAAAGATCTACGAGAACTAAAACTGCTATCATGCGACTTTTATGCTGATCAAATAAAACAAGTTCTTCAAGTGAAAGGATGCAACATTAGCAATTTGCACCTCGAACATGTAGATCAAATTGATCTTAACGCATTAATGTACATTAGTCAAATGTGCCCCCTTCTTGAAACTCTAACGCTTTACAACTGCACTTTGATTCAGCATACCTCACTCTATACCAAAAAGTTAGACATCCTGCCATTCAGAAATTTAAAACGCATTACATGCGTGGCTACGTGTACTGAAGAACATTTATTATTTATTTTAACGAATTGTTTGAACATTGAATTTATACATATTGGGACAGCTATACAGTTTACAGATGACTTCGTACTTAAAATCCTCAATATAAATCCACTTTTGTATTTAAAAGAACTGCGCATAATGCAGTCAGATTATTTAACGATGACATCTGTTGATAGAATTATTCATAGTTGTATCAATCTAGAAATTTTGGTTGAGTTAGAAAGTTGGACTTTGCTAACAGAAAGTGACAGAGAATATGTAAGAAATTATATTAAAATCAATAATTTTAATATAGATACGGCACCGATTAGAAGGTACGACATTTGATTATTAAGTAAGATGTGTCCGTTTGTGAGGTAGGCGTATATTACTATTTTTAATGGGTACCTGCGAGTATCTACACTCCTTCTAGTGAAGTACCTAATTATCACCACTAAATAATGATTATACCGATGTCAATAAATAAATAATAAATGAAGGATAAAAATAGATTATTTATTTAGGTATTATACCTAACTACCATAGCATAATGGATACGATTGTAATGTTACGGTAAATGTGATAAATTGTAAATTATGTAATAATTCATGTTTCATGTAGGTACACGTATAAATAACAGGGTCATTCCATAAAAATCTGTATATTTTCGACGTCATTTTGTCCGTAACTTTTTTAAGATGCTTTTGAATACTTTATTAGTGTAAATTATTGTTTATTAATTAATTATGTTATGTCTAAAAGGGCCAGTCACTTTATGCTTTATTTTAGGAGAAATTATAATTTTCATTTTTTTCATACTACATTACTCCTATATGACTTCTAATAAAGTATAAAACTTTTAACCTTAACATTTATAGATAAGTTAATACACATAATGTAGTTGTTTTGTTATTATCACTATATAAAAAACATCATCCCTAACTAGTAATTTAGTCCCAAGTGCCGTTTAAAGCTAGGGCCTGACGCTCTAGGGACTGACGATTTGGAGTAAAATTTAACACAAATGCAGATTAACTTTATATTAGATGCTTAATACGATGTGCCGAAAATAGCCAAAAAACTACACGTAAATACTATTAAATTATATACAATTTCCTATTATAATCAATAAAGCTACTCAACTAGGGACTGACGAAGTGACTGGATTAACACATGTTTCGGTAACATCTGGCACATTTGCACTAATTAAAAAAACGGCTACCGCAAAGCCAGTATGGTCTGAGGATAACTTCGTATCGTACTTTAAACTCAACTAAATGTCATTCACTCTAAATACATATTAAAGCGCAAAATTATAAAATCAGTGCGTGGCGAGGGAATGACGCTAAAAACTGTAGACTCTTTTTCAACTAAAGAAAATCAAATTATTGTTTATTGAAACCGCAAAATATTAATAGAATTTGGTGTAATATACATTTAAATAGATTATTCGTTAATTAAAACAAAGGATAAAGTTGATGTTTTTATAAATGTGGGTCCCAAAACACAAACTTTTGGAGTACGGACATGCCTAGGGAACATAGAGTTAACTCTATGCTAGGGAATGACGTTTTGGGTCATTCAAAAGGAATTTAGGATGTTTTAAAAATAGTTTAAAAAAATATAAATGGGTGATGAATAAAGCACATTGCTGTTATTTAACAATCTTGGAATAAAATATTAACAAATATTTCATGTGAAATGTGGCGCGGACTAAGAGTTGACATATTTTTGTGGAATGACCCAACAATACCTAACTTCCCAAAATAAAAGTAAAAAGATTATTGTATAATGGCACCAATGACCGACAAGAACCAATGACCGACACTTTATTTTTTGATTCAATAAAATAAGAGTAAGAAATCGATTTCTTAATTTGGAAACACTGTACCATCATAGAAAGCACACTTTTGACTGTCTCCCATTGACATTTAAGGCTTGGTATTTCTGCTAAAGTAGGTATTTCGCGCTGTCAAAATCTGCGCGCGCAATACTTCGCCGAAGACGCGTCTTTCCGTTCTATACATGGCCAGAACGCACCCATAGGAAACTGCTCGTGTATATTTTGTAGTGCCTGTTTGTAAATCTGTGACTCCAAACTATACACGATTTTTGCGTACTGATCGTGTATAGTTTGGAGGAGCTTAGTAAAAAAAGTCATCTCCAAAGGATTACTAATGTTTGGCCAAAAAACGTTTCCCAAATTATCACATCGCAAACAACGTTTCGCAAATTTTCATTTGGCAAATTCTCATTTGGCAAAACAACTTATTGCAAACTTTTAATTCGCAAATGTCGTTTTTGGCATATTATTGTTTAGCAAATTATTGTTTGGCAAAGTATGTTTTGCCAAATGTTTCATTTGGCAAAAATATTTCACGATAAACTATTTACAAAACAATTTGATTGGTGCATAGAATAGAATACAAATTAGCTTGTGGTTATTATTTTGTTTAGTGGGTAGCTAATATAATTTTTTTTCTAAATAAATTTTCATATTTCATTCTTTTTATCGAAATTTCCAAATGATTCATTAACAATAGAGATGATTCTAGCGCTCGGCGGCCGCTGCCGCGGCACGCTTCGCTCGCCTTCGCGCATTAAGGGTCACTGTTCTAACCTAACCTAACCTACTATTTTCTACAATACCTACTTTTTGCAACCATACTATTTTCTGCAATCTCTCTGTTTTACATAAAATTATTGTGAAAACCATGACCAGATGTGACTGAGTCCTCTTCCTGCACTATTAAAGTGGTTTTCATTGAATGTTTCGATATCCTAAATGATCAATTTAGGAATTGTTTGAGAAAACAGTTCATTTTGAACACGATCTGGATCAGCATAAGAGATAAAAATGAAGATTTCATGACATGGTGAACATGATAGGTGTTTGAGTTTCTTCAGCCACTTTTTCTTAGCATCAACCGATCGATATGTTTATTTATTAATTTATTTACTTATTATAGACCTTTTTTCTACATTATTTTATATTTCTACATTATAAAGAAGGTTTTATCTCTTGTGCAGACAACAGAATATCAGACTATACACTTGTATTACAACTACATAAGTTACTACAGTGTTTAACTTGAAGTGCCGTCGTCTGTACATTGCCTTTTAATTATCTTTACACTGTTCTCTTAAAATATTTACAAGAAAACGACCCAGCATAATTTTTTTCGGAAAATAAAAATAATATCCACTGTAAGTTTTGCTTATCCAACAATAGTAAGTTAACTCAAAACACTCTTCTCAAACAAAACAGGAGATAGTTTGAATAAAACTAACACTATTTAGAAACAGGGATTATCATACTGTACCTGATTTTAGGTGAAATATGCAAAACTACACGTTGTGTATAGAAAAACATTGAAATGAAATTTGTTCCAACAAAACTACGCCAACTAGAAATTCACAAGTTGATTCATCAAAACCAACTCAACTCAAAATAGTAACAAAATATAAGTTGCTTTATCAAACAAAACTGGAAGAAGTCAAAATGTTTTGGTTAACTATTGCAGAACAATTCATCAATACTGTTACTACTCAAATTAACTCATTATATATTTTCTGATTAACTGTAACAAATCTAAATATCCGCGTTTTCGTTTATTTTAATACGTGCACTCTCTGATACTAGCGAAGGTCAACTGACAAAACGCTTGTTTAGGTGGAAGGGGTTGACAAGCGTTGATTCAACAAAAGTAAGTTATCGCCATCTAGCGGCAAATGGATTAAGGCTTTATTAAACCTGTAATGTTGGAAAGATGCGTATGATAACCGAGTAACTATTTGAATACAAGTATAAGTCAAAATTGACAATTTTTGAGTTGTCTCAGTTTAGATCTAGGTGTGCGATATGATTCCATATTTTATTAAATCAAATAAACTAAACACACTCTAGTCAACTGTAAGTGGTGTAATATAGTTTGGAGCGAAGACGGAATCCATCCACGATACAAACTATACACGATCAGTACGCAAAATTCGTGTATAGTTTGTAGTGACCGACTTACAAAGAGACACTCCAAAATATACACGAGCAGTTTCCTATGGGTGCGTTCTGGCCATGTATAGAACGGAAAGACGCGTTTGGTGTAGTGGCGTCTTTCCGTTCTATACATAGCCAGAACGCAAGGGTGTGAAACTAATCGAGTATAGTTTGGAGATGACTTTTTTTACTAAGCTCCTCCAAACTATACACGACCAGTACGCATAATGCTGCGTACTGCTCGCGTATACTTTGCAGTGACTTAGGTCAATTATCTTACTCCAAAATATACATCGCCAGTACGCATACGGACTAATCATGTATGCATTGTAATAAGTGCGTGATTACAATTTATACGCGAGTAGTTGCATGCTAGTCATTTTGTCTTATTGACCTCTTTTTCTATTACATATTATTAATTCATATCTGCGTGTCTACTTTAAGGGCCATTCTTATTCTTACANGTCAATGGTTCACAATGGTTGTCAAAGGTTCACAGATGTCAAAATACTCCAGGTATATAAAGCCAGGGAAAAAAATCTGGACACCGCGGTACAGCTTTACGCGTCTCAAAGTACAGTGACATCTCTCGGCAAATAATACAAACAAGTTTCATGGAAGGTTTATACAATTATGCTGGAAATTAAAGTATACTGGCACAATCATTGTAAAGATTACAATGAATTGCCCATTAATATTAAAGAATAAAATACATGGAAATTGCATGTACTACTTATAATGTGTGTACTTTGTAATTGTATGCTATGATGACTTAGACCAAGGGTGCTAACTTTTATAAGGTATTGCTTGATCTTGCACTGCAGGAACAATGGAATCACTATTATAAGTATTAAATAACCCAACAGCACTGGTGGATATAAGGCTTAATATTTGCTGAAGAAAAGGATCTTCCTCTTCAGGCATTGGCGATCCACCTCCTAAAACAAACAAAAAATGTATGTAGTAAAAGATAACATAGGATTATCTTTCAGCTGTCTTCAGTTCTATGGTATGTCTGTTGCATGATATAGGTAATTGCTAACTTGTTTGAATCATAATATTTCTCCTATTCCTTCGCTTCGCTGCCTTTCTCGCTGTCTTTTTCATACACTCCCATTGAGCTTTTAAATTTTCTCCTGTGCGAGTACCGTGGCTTGTTCGGCTATTGTACTGGTCTGCAATAATTTGCCACTGAGCTAATTTTCTTTTTATGGTCACTCCATCGGTTTTTTTATTTTCTATAATATTAAAATGAAGCTGAACTAGGCTCAACAAAAGTTCCTTTTCAGTTATCAACCAATTAGGACTGCGTTTACGCTTTAAATCCTCACTCATTTTGTTAAGACGAACCTTGCTTTTTTGCGTAAAATATATCGAAATAACCTCAGAAATAACAAAACTTTATATTATTTCTCTCAAACGTAGCGAATATCAATCAATCACCAATCAATAAAGCATCTATCTATGTATATCAATAAACAAAATTAAATTACCACAAAGTCACACAACTGTCACAACGCAAGTAGTGTTGCCGATCGATAGTCGACTATCGATTGACTATCGATAGTCTATCGATTGGCCTATCGATAGTATCGATACTGTCGATACTATCGATACTATCGATAGCTCAAAACGAGGCAATACTATTGAATATGTGCAATACTATCGAAACTATCGATAGTATTGTTGCTCGTGAAGAATAAACTATCGATAGTATCGATACTATTGTCGCTTTTGAATAAAAAGCTATCAATACTATCGATACTATCGATTGTTCTAGACTATCGATAGTTTGGCAATTTACAATAGTATCGTTTACAATATTTGGGTATAATAGTCAACAGGCACAACAAATAGGGTTATTGGAATACTTGAATTATTTCATATAGTTAACCATAACATTTAATTATATGTTTCCAAAATTGGCAATACATTTTATTTGCCGTACTTAACTAATGCAGGTAGTTTTAAATACAAGTAAGATCATTATTTTTAGTTATAAAATAATGTTAGTTGGTAAGTCAAGCGAAACATTTGAAATATTGTAAAAATGAATTTAAACATACCCAATACTATTGCAAATTTACAGACTATCGATAGTTTATTCTTCACGAGCAACAATACTATCGATAGTATCGATAGTATTGCACATATTCAATAGTATTGCCTCGTTTTGAGCTATCGATAGTATCGATAGTATCGACAGTATCGATACTATCGATAGGCCTATCGATGGAGAAGGCTTTTTCGAATGAAAACTATCGATAGTTTTACTATCGATAGTTCGGCAACACTAAACGCAAGTGTCTGCCAAGTGTCAAGACAAGAAGTGTCTGTCATAGTGTTGCCGATCGATTGTCGAGTATCGATAGTCTATCGATATTCTATCGATAGCCAAACTAACACAAGACTATCGATTGGCTTATCGATAGTATCGATACTGTCGATACTATCGATCTTATCGATAGCTTAAAACGAGGCTATACTATTGAATATGTGCAATACTATCGATACTATCGATTGATTGATGATCGATTGTCGCTTTTGAATAAAAAGCTATCGATAGTATCGATACTATCGATTGTTCTAAACTATCGATAGTTTGGCAATTTACAATAGTATCGTTTACAATATTTGGGTAATAAAATTATCTGTAATTCGCCTGTAATTCAGGCGGATAATTTAATTTAATCTAGGAGCCTTCCTAGCCTAGCTCAGAAGCAAGTCTCACTCAATCTATCGTATTATATTAGGTTACTCCTAGATAGTTGTGTAGATTGTTAGATTGTGGAGGAAAAATGTGTAAAATAAAGGATTTTTATTATTTTTATACATACTTACCTATATATGCCATTTCAAAAGGCTTTGTTTCTTTTTCAGGTCGGTAGCAATATTTTTTCTTTTTAAATATGACGGCCCGTTAAAACATACCCTATACTATTGCAAATTTACAGACTATCGATAGTCTTAAATAATCGATACTTTCGAAACTATCGATAGTATCGATACTATCAATACTATCAATAGTTTTTTTATTACTAGCAACAATACTGTCTGTAGTATCGATATAATCGATAGTTTATTCTTGGCGAGCAGCAATACCATCAAAAGTATCGATAGTATTGCGCTCATCCAATAGTATTGCCTAGTTTTGGCATATTGATAGTATCGATACTATCGATAGGCCAATCGATAGATAAGGCTGTTTCAAATGAAAACTATCGATAGTTTTACTATCGATAGTTCGGCAACACTAGTCTGTCAAACATGTACTTTGACATTAGGAGGGACCACACTATCTATACAACTGCAAAATCGAGTTGATACCATTAAGCTTTTACACCATCCTGTTATAAAACAACATTTCTTTGTCGGGTTTTAACCAATCGCGTATTGTTATTCCTCGCACAACTATACTTTAAATTACGTGGAGAAACTACTATGGATTTACTCGAGATTAAGATTGTGGAATAGATTATTCCTGGAATAGTTACTCGTGTATAAATTCAAGTTTGGTCGAATCCACCCGTTTTTTGGTAGAAATTGTTTTTTTTTTCGTCCAGTAGCACATGACATCACACAACGAAGCGTTCACATTTTGACAATGACATTGTATATGACATGACATTGACATCTGACGTTTAGCACAACTTGCATGCACTTTGTGCACACGTCCTATTTCCCGTATTTCTTTAAATTTTCCTCCTCAACACCAATAACCAAGCATCATGGACTACCAAAGTCGTCAACTGGCTGAAGACTACTTCCTTAGAGAGCCTGCGGACGCTCGGATAAGGTTAGACTTTTTAACTTTTACAATCGTAGTTTACACCATATTTCCCATGGACCTATAAAAAAAGTCGGACGGATTCTCATCAACAAAATACTGTGACATTAGGATACACCAGCTTGCCTGTACGTACAGGCCGGCACGCACACATTCACACCCTGTTACACCACTTCGAGTGCAAACTTCACACAGTTGACACATTTAAGCAGCGAAAAAACAACACGAATACGACATGTCTTGTGTGATGAAATTGTGTAAAAACCGTTCTGTTCGAACAAACAAAAATTAAGGAATCACATTTCACAGGCAAAATAATAATCCAATCACTTATTTCCCGACATTAAAATATTGAAATTAATTGAAATCAAACGTCATTCACTCGAAAAAATAATACGTCAAAGACCAGTGTTCTCAGTTATTTACGTGGGAAAATTACCCGAAATATGGGAAATTAATAATGATTTTAGGACTTTTTAGTTATGTATTACGCATACTATGGAAATAAAATAATTTATCATAATAATTGTGTTTTAATGGGATATATTTTCATAGGCAAATTTGATCCTTCCCAAAAATGTGGAACTGCGAAATTCAAATTTTCTTACATTGATTGCAAGTCAGTGTCAGGTTGTATGTTAAAAAAAATCTATCAGAGATAATAATAATATATTGATGATGCATAAGATTATGATTATAATGTACACAAGATTCGTAATTTGTAACTGCGTGAATCATTTTTGATCAACATTATGTACATACCCTGACACACTGACTTGCAAACAATGTAAGAAAATTTGAACATTGAAAATTTCGCGCCTACCTCAACGCATACACCTTTCATCCTTTTAAAATGGCACGGAATAATTCTGTCTACATTTCCAAGTAACATCTGCCGATCTATGTTTTTCTTAAAATAAATGGGTAAAATGTTTTGGCTAACATGGCATCCCTAAATTCACTCACACAATAGACAAACGCCAAAATTTTGCGTCACAGTTTTGTTGTAGCGCGAGTTCCGTCCGCCTTTTTTTATAGGTCCATGATATTTCCCATCAGAATGCTTTAAAAGTTTGTTCAATTTACAGTAGGAGACCTAAAGATGAGCCGAAGGAAGATCCTCACCCCAATTTGAAGGTGGAAATGCAAACGGTTCGCCTCAACCCAGACTCCCAAAAGTTGGTGCTAGATACATTGAGGTTTATACATGGTCCTGATTTCAAACTGGGCAGTGCAAGCCTTTACAAGGTATTTATTAATTTTATGACCTTCTTTTACTAATTTTTTAGACTATTCTAACTTTTAACAGGAGTTTAGTTAATTGATGTTGTACAATATGATGTCATCCTCTAAGTCTAGGGATTGTGATATTGATATTATGTATCTGTCAGTTATAATAGATTTTAATAATCATAATGGTTTTCAAAAGGTCAATAATATACAGGGTGTTAGGTAAATGGGTATATGAGCCGACACTAGCGCATGTTAACATGGTCATATAAATGGTATGGTGAAGTCAGAAAATTGATATCTTAATTTTAATTATTTTAATTTTCATACAAATCGGATTTTATAAAATTTATTTTGTATGAAAATTAAAAAAATTAAAATGATATCAAATTTCTGACTTCACCATACCATTTATATGACCATGTTAACATGGGCTAGTGTCGGCTCATATACCCATATACCTAACACCCTGTAGATATAATATAGTACACCACTACACAAAATAAGGAATTAAAGAAATGAGTCGTCTAGTTTCAAAACCCGCTAAAACGCTCCTGCTACAAATTTCTGTTTATATCTCTAAATGATGCTACTGCAATTTTCTCATCATACTGTTCAATTATTTTCGATCAAAATACACTAAAAGACTACTAAACTAGCACTTAAAATTAGGTTTGTGTTACAAACTCCGCTAAAACGCCGTCCGTTTCTTTCAAAACCCTCTAAAAGTTGATTGACCAATGGTAGCACGGTATTTTTGGTCACGTGACTGCGAAATCAGTATGGAGATTTTTTTATAACGTGGTTGCTTCATAATTTGCTCTTATCAAATCCCGCTAAAATACAACATGTCCGTTTCAAATCCCATTAAAACCGAATGTTCGTAACAAAATACGCCAAAATGAAAATAGTTTTCATTATAATTCAAATTATGTTTAATTTAAAGATGAATAGCAATTACTGTTAGTATTGCCAGATGACAATAATAATTCGTATCATATTTTTTTTTGCCTAAGGCCAAAGCTATATGGATAAGCGGTTTTTTTCAATTTCTCGAAATCTTATCAAAATCGTTTTAGCGGGATTTGAAACTAGACGCCTCAAATATGCACTAAAGACACTGTTATTTTCACTATCATTGACAGTTAAAATGATCTATAAAAGTTCATTGGTTTTTATATTTAAATTACCCTTTTCAGGACAAAGGCACTAACTTAGGCAAGAGGTACTGGATGGAAAGAGGCAACCTTATCGTGCAAGGAGGCTGCGATTACTCTCTAACCGTCAAACCTGACATTGAGTCATCGGAAGCCAGGCTAAGAGCTTTTGCTCTGACCAAATTAGAGAAGTATGTTTTACTTACAAGTTTAACATCAAACCAAATATAGAAAAGTTATCTAAATTATCTTTCTTCTACTTCTAAAATGTGAAAATTATTATTAAGTATATTTGCATTTTCTTTCTAGATACAATTTCCACAAACCGCATTGTGCTGAAGCGTTGGAATTAGCAGGAGAAAACGTAGAAAAAGCTCTAGAAATATTATTCATGAAGTATTTCAAAATTGTAGCACAAGAAAAACCAGAAAATATACTGTCCCAAGCAGAATTACTAGAAATGAGATCAGACGAAAAAGCTGTTTTAGAATCAATTTACGACACAAGTTTCAGAATCAAAGACAATAATGTATGGATCGTTAAATTAGAGTTAGACTATTTAACAAAAATGTACCAAAATAAAGAGCTTGAATTACCAAAAACAAAGAAAAATATAAATTATAACAACAACCTCAAAGCAAAACCTAAAGACGTGTGTAAGCTTTACCTCAAAGGTCCTTGTAGATTTGGTGCTAAATGTAAATTTTTACACGAACGAAAAGAAGACACCGAAAAAGAAATTATTGAAGATGTCAAAGAGGATGTGAAAATAACTTACGAATTAGAAATACGGTTTCCGGAAGAAACATGGTATCCATATCAGCCTCCATTGCTCTTTTTCAAAATGGAAAATAAGAATAATGTTGTACCAGAATTGACATGTTTGAAAGTAACAGCCAGGTTGTTGGATGAAGCAAAAGCGCTTGCACAAGATGGAATACCTAGCATATACTCTTTAGTCGAATTATTAAACAATGAAGAAGATATTTTGAACTTTATTAAGTTTGATACAAGAAGTTTCCCCGAATTGAGTGATACATTGTTTCCTCAGTTAATAGAAAATTCTAGTTTAAGTAAAGAAAAGTTACCATCTCACTACAAGAAAAGTCAAAATAGAGATAATAGGAGCAATGTGAACTTTGAAGAAATTTTGAGAGAAAACAAACACATTGCCAAAATGTGGGCGGAGAAAATTGACAACAATAGGTACCACAAAATGATGTCTGGTAGAAGAAAGTTGCCTGCGTGGAAAAAAAGGACAGATATATTGAATGCTATGAAAAAGTCACAGGTAAGATATAGTTTAAAAACTCAATAATAGTAAATAGATTTGTTTTACATGTAAAGTAAACAAACATTTGCTATTCATCTCATTATTGCATAAAAAAGTAGACATCTAAATACCAATAAATTAAAAACTTTCAAAGACAAATCATGATGCCATGACAAGTTTTCAACTGAGTTACAGTCCAATTTTATTTTTAATCCAGCCTTTCCTTCCCAGGTGGTAGTTATAAGCGGAGAAACAGGGTGTGGTAAAAGCACACAAGTGCCACAGTACATATTAGACGACTGGTTGGAACGGTTCCACAAGGACGGACCGCAGCACGTAGAGATAGTGTGCACTCAGCCTAGGAGGATATCGGCTATTGGTGTGGCGGAGAGAGTGGCTGACGAACGAGTTGAGAAGACCGGGCAAATTGTTGGTTATCAGGTGAGAGATTGTGTAGTTACAATTTCAGAATAAAGCCTCAGATATTTAACTGTATCTAAATACACATCTAACTGTATCTAAATGTACAGCCAAATAGCATTTTTCTCAGTTTTCTACTCATTGCTTGTTTTTCATAAAATGAATGGCCTCTAGATTTACACAATTACTATCCAATATTATTTTGAAGATCCCAATGTAACGTGTGGAATAGTAATATTAGATTTAGAATTAATGCAATATTTTAGGCTAACATTAAGCAGGCCTTGCCTACATAGCTTACCTTTAGTGATTTTCCAAGTGGAAAATATATCTGGTTCATTCTTTAAATTGCTTAGTCCGGTCATTAATGAGTTAAAAGCTTTAGCCCCATCAATTTTTGAGTAATAATTATATCCATCCATTTCAGATACGATTAGAAAGCAAAGTGTCATCCAAAACGCGTTTAACCTTCTGCACAACCGGTATACTCTTACGAAGGTTAGAATACGACCCTCAGCTAAAGTCTGTTACTCACATACTCGTGGACGAAGTGCACGAGAGGTCGGAAGAGAGTGACTTCTTGCTACTCATCCTGAGGGACCTTGTCAAAGTCAGGAAAGATCTCACAGTGATACTCATGAGTGCGACCTTGAACGCTGACCTCTTTTCGCAGTACTTCGAAAAGGTTCCAGTGTTAGAGATTCCAGGTAATGTTCTTTTTTACTAGTTACTAACTCAGTTGGTTAAATTCAGCCAAATGACGTCCACTGCTGGACAAAGGCCACTCCCAAAGATTTCCTCAATGACCGATCCTGCGCTGCCCGCATTCTAGTGCTTCTCGCGGCCTCACTAGATCGTCGGTCCACCTAGTGGGAGGCCTGCATACACTACGTCTTCCGGCCCATGGTTGCCTTTTCTGCCCCAACAGCCATCAGCTCTACGAGCTATGTAATTAAAATAATCTGACATATTATAGCCAAAGTTTCATCAAAATCTCTCTTATTTTCGTAAATGTGTATTAATTTACTATTTGTTTCAGGTCGCACTTTCCCTGTAGAACAATTATTTTTAGAAGATATAATGGAATTAACGAATTACGTGTTAGAAGAAAACGGTCCGTACGCTCGAAAAGTTAAAAAAGGTATAACTTTATTTTATTATAAACTAGCGGCCGCCCGCGACTTCGTACGCGTGGATCCCGTTTTACCCCCTTCATCTATCTAATAAATTAAATTGAATGACGTTGACATTCGTTACGCGCGTTTTTTAAAATATGCAAAATTAAATGTATATTTTTCAATCTTTCTGAGAGATTTTCTTTATATTTTTTTCCGTAAAAACCTTGTACAGAGTATTAGAAAACTACAAAAAAAAATCAGCCAAATCGGTCAAGCCGTTTTCATGTTATGTCGTGACAACGGAAAACGGGTTTCATTTTTATATATATAGATGTATTTCCAAACTGAGTTTAACTCACGTACTTAATTTATGATACAACCAAAATTAAGACATGCCATTATCATGTTTATAGGAGACAAAAAAGCCGACCTCGAAACGGAGTTAGAAACAGCTGACGTTCGGGCTGATTCTAACGAAGCGCCCAAACAGTCCATACGAGACGACAACCTTACAATATCTCAGATGCTGGCTCGATATCCTAAATGCAGTAAAACCACTTGCAAGAATATGTACCTTATGGATAGCGAAAAGGTAAGGTTTGACAAAATTTTAATCAATCTAATAAGGGTTTTCGCGATTGAAAAATCCGCCAGATGGCAATACGTAGACGCGAGGTCCAAATGCTGCATGATTGGTGGATTTTGACATATCTGTCAATGTCATGTCAAAAATAACCAATCATGCAGCATTTGGACTTCGCGTCTACGTATTGCCATCTGGCGGATTTTTCAATCGTGAAAACCCTCATTGAAATGACAAGGGCTGAGAAATGCTGATAATACAGTGTCCCAGAATGGGTGAATCAAGCTGCTATGGGAGGTAGCTTGACCTCTGACCTACTACTAATTTTTAAGGGGTAAGGCAGAGGTAAAACTACCCACTTCTCATAGAAGTTTGATTCAACCATTCTGGGACACCCTGTATATTGATTGTCTTAATTACATCGTGTTACATCAATCGTTACAGTTCAAACTGCTATACAAGATGGTTTAAGAGTAATTTAGAGAAAATGTCTTGTACATTTATTATGTATCTCACATTTTTTGACAGTATCTAAAGAAGGAAAGAACAACTGGGGACTAATGTTTTTATTTTTCAGATAAATCAAGATCTCATTGAACACGTGCTTACGTACATAGTGAATGGAGACCACAATTGGCCGAAAGAGGGCGCTATTTTGGTATTCTTGCCTGGTATTGCCGAAATCATGTCCTTGCACGATCAGCTTGCTGAGAGTCATACTTTTAGTCCCAAGTGAGTATAATAGTTTATTTGTACAGGGTGTTAGGTAAATGGGTATATGAGCCGACACTAGCCCATGTTAACATAGTCATATAAATGGTATGGTGAAGTCAGAAATTATTTTTCATACAAATCGGATTTTATAAAATTTATTTAGTATGAAAATTAAAAAAATTAAAATGATGATATCAAATTTCTGACTTCACCATACCATTTATATGCCCATGTTAACATGGGCTAGTGTCGGCTCATATACCCATTTACCTAACACCCTGTAGAACAGACGAGAGTTAGAGAGACTATTCACGAGGTAATTTTTTTATCCAACACTTTTCCTCTGTGAACAGTCTCTCCTCTGCGCAACCTGTAATAGTATAGTTTAAATTGTGCTCATTTCCTTTATTCAAGACTAGCTTTCCGCCCGCGGCTTCGCGCGCGTGGACCACATTATCTACATATTTTACGGAACCTTATTTTTTTCCAAAATAAAATTTAGCCTATGTTACTCGTGGATAATGTAGCTTTCGAATGGTGAAAGAATTTTTAAAAACGGTCCAGTAGTTTTTGATCATATTCATTACAAACAATCAACAAACAAAGTTTTCCTCTTTATAATATTAGTGTAGAAAAAAACTACCGTTATTTCGTTTCTATTTGTTGCAAGAGAATTCCGAAGTGAAAGAAAGAGACAAATATAGCTTAAAGTTAACAGAGAAGGATATCAACTCATGCGCATGCTTATTTTTTATGTTTTTATTATTTTATACGTGGATTATTTCAAGTACCGATTTCTTATAAGGTAATAAATATACAGATTTTTTTCCTCTCGACTAATAAATCTTTAATTTGTTTTTAAGGACCGGCAAATTCGTCCTAGTCCCACTACACTCAACGTTATCCAGCGAAGAACAAGCGTTAGTCTTCAAGAAGCCAAAGCCTGGCGCTCGGAAGATTGTGCTGTCTACAAACATAGCAGAAACGTCAGTGACGATAGACGACTGTGTGTTCGTTATAGACTGCGGGCGGATGAAGGAGAAAAGGTGATTTAATTTTGATACTTATTCTGAGATAATTAGGGCTGATTTTTGATTGTCATGAAGCCTTGGCCCGGGGTTAAGTAGATTGTGCTCTCTACCAACATAGCGAAAACCTCCGTCACGATAGAAGATTGTATATTTATATTCGTTATTTACTGCAGGCGGATGAAAGAGAATAGGTGACTTTATTATGAATTACATAAGGTCGATTATTAGCAGAGTATTGGGTGCTATAAATAAGAATACTTTTCGATGCCAGTCTGGCCTGGTCGCAAAATTATGCAAAACTCGGTGCAGAGGGCGCTACTAGAACAAACAGTAAATATACTGATATGATGCATTATATCAAGTTTATTTGTACTCGTAATAAATCATTGGTGTTTAGTTTACATCAGCCTCAGCGCATCATACATTACGCTCACTAGTGAGCGCGTTTAAAAAATGTATGAAAATTTTAGTTTTTGAACGTTTCCCGCTAGGGGCGCTGTACAATCCGTCATACATTCAATGTCATATTTTGACGCGCTCACTAGTGAGTTCGTTTGATGAAAACTCACACTAAGCCCTCTGAACATTGCAGTAATAACATCTAAAGCCTGGTCCGTGAGCACGTAGAATCCCGTCCAATGACCCCAAGCTACCAATCCTTATCGCTCGCGCGTAATTATATTGCTGTCGCGACTGTGCGACGCGCGCCCGCAGTGGGTGTGCGAGCGCGACAGCAACATAATTACGTGCGAGCGACAAGGATGGGCAGCTTGGGGTCATTGGACGGGATTCTACGTGCTCACGGACCAGGCTTTAGAAATACTTTCATTCCAGATTCGATTCAAACCGCAACATGGAGTCCTTAGACTTAGTGTGGGTCTCTCGGGCCAACGCGAAGCAACGCCGCGGCCGCGCGGGCCGAGTCATGCCCGGCGTTTGTGTGCATTTGTATACGTCGCACCGATACAACTATCACATATTAGAACAACCCGTGCCTGAGATACATAGAATACCGCTGGAACAACTGGTGTTGAAGATTAAAATACTGTCGCTATTTCAAGATATGAGCGTGCATGAAGTTTTAGGTAAGTTTGCATGTAAAATAGGGCATTTTTAGGCGTCTGGGTGCATCTGTACACGTCGCACCGATACAACTATCACATATTAGAACAACCCGTGCCTGAGATACATAGAATACCGCTGGAACAACTGGTGTTGAAGATATCAAGATTTTGTCGCTGTTTCAAGATATGAGCGTCCATGAAGTTTTAGGTAAGTTTGCATGTAAAATAGGGCATTTTTAGGCGTTTGTGTGACGTTGAACCGATACAACTATCACATATTAGAACAACCCGTGCCTGAGATACATAGAATACCGCTAGAACAACTGGTGTTGAAGATCAAGATTTTGTCGCTATTTCAAGATATGAGCGTGCATGAAGTTTTAGGTAAGTTTGCATGTAAAATAGGGCATTTTTAGGCGTTTGTGTGCATCTGTACACGTCGCACTGATATAACTATCACATATTAGAACAACCCGTGCCTGAGATACATAGAATACCGCTAGAACAACTGGTGTTGAAGATTAAAATACTGTCGCTATTTCAAGATATGAGCGTGCATGAAGTTTTAGGTAAGTCGCTAACTACAGGGTATTTTCGGGCGTCTGTGTGCATCTGTATACGTCACACCGATACAACTATCATAGAACAACCCGTGCCTGAGATACATAGAATACCGCTGAAACAACTGGTGTTGAAGATCAAGATTCTATCGCTGTTTCAAGATTTGAGCGTGCATGAAGTTTTAGGTAAGTCGCTAACTTCAGGGCATTGTCGAGCGTTTGTGTGCATCTGTACACTTGGCACCGATACAACTATCATATATTAGAACAACCGGTGCCAGAAATACACAGGATACCGCTGGAACAACTGGTGCTAAAGATCAAAATACTGTCGCTGTTTCAAGATATGAGCGTCCATGAAGTCTTAGGTAAGTTAGCTTCTACTGTGTAGGTACAGGCGACGTCACGTCAAGCTAAACACTGGGATCTTATGTAGTTGTAATAGAGGTAATTTTGTAACAAAAATACTGGGTGGTCCCGGCAGAGTACAATAGGAATCATTTCCACTTATTCTGTGGATGTCATAAAATGTTTCGAATGCCTGTTTTGACCATTAATTCCTAATTTTTAAGTGACCCCTATGATAAAAAATAACAGGAATTTTGTTTACATAGGGGTCTCTTAAAAATTAGGGATTGATGGTGAAAACGGGCATAAGTGGTAAACATACGAATATAAGGCCTCCCCCACCCGTTAGGCCAACGTGAGGAATATAGTAAACCAAACCTGCCATTTGCCACTAAAGCCCGGTCTGTGAGCACGTAGAATTTTGTCCAATGACCCCAAGCTACCCATCCTTATCGCTCGCGCGTAATTATATTGCTGTCGCGACTATGCGACGGGCTCGCAGACCAGACTATAGTAAATTAGTAAGAGTGTGTTCTTGAAGTGTAGACTAAAATTAATGACCTGATGATGATATCATCACCACGATCCTCAATCTATAAGTCCATAAAAGGCTCTTTCGGCTACTTATTAGCTTAATAATGTCCGTTTCAGCCAAATGACGTCCACTGCTGGACAAAGGCCTCCCCCAAGGTTTTCCACAATGAACGGTCCTGCGCTGCCCGCATCCAGGCTCTTCCCGCGACCTTTACCAGATCGTCGGTCCACCTAGTAGGAGGCCTGCCCACGCTACGTTTTCCAGCCCGTGGTCGCCACTCGAGAACTTTCCTGCCCCAACGGCCATCGTCTCTACGAGCTATGTGCCCCGCCCACTGCCACTTGATTTTAGCAATTCTGCGAGCTATGTCGGTTACTTTGGTTCTCCTACGGATCTCCTCATTTCTGATTCGATCACGCAGGGAAACTCCGAGCATAGCCCGCTCCATCGCCCTTTGGGTGACCTTGAGCCTTCTTATGAGGCCCATAGTAAGCGACCACGTTTCGGATCCATATGTCGTTGTGCCGTGTGGGGACGGCCGTAAAAGAATACTTTTCCCCACCGCCAACAGGAGGCGTGTCGTAAGAGGCGACAAACTCCTGTAGCACCGGACGGGCAGCAGCGTCTGCGTGCGAAACCAAGTAAAAAACTGCGATCGCCAACCCGCCTGCCAAGCGTGGCGATTAGGGCAAAACCCTCCAAATGGTAGCACAAACAAAAAAACGGCCCCTAGTCCCCGGCGGCCCCACTATCCCGGACCACGGTAGCGGTCACGGTAACGGTGGGGCAAGGGGTGCGAAGAATCCCCGGGGGATGCCAGGCTACCAACACCGAATAATGTCCGTATAATAATATTATAGTATCCTGCTATAATAATAATATTTTGTTCCAGGTAAAACAATAGAACCGCCCACGAAACCGAACATAGATGGCGCTCTCGCTCGCTTGCAAGACGTCGGCGCGCTAGACAAGGGTTTCGCCCTGACTGCGCTCGGCAAGCACTTGGCCGCTTTGCCAGTGGACGTGCGGATAGGGAAGCTGATGCTGTTCGGTGCTATATTCTGCTGTGTGGACTCGGCTTTGACTATGGCGGCTTGTTTGAGCCATAAGAGCCCGTTTGTCGCGCCTTTTGGGAAGAAGGTAAGATTTTATAAATGCGAGCCGCAAAAACGTCTTTTTCTTGTTGATTAGTCAAATACTTTCGTTTTTGGGATTGCATTAATATTAACGATTGGTTAAATAGAACCTTTCTTGGGAGGCGGTAAAGTGCAATATAGCTAGTGCTATATAATTTTTATAAGTCGGATTTTAAATACTATTCATTCATCAATTTGAAACCTCATATAAAGTCAACATGCAGATTTTTTGAGATTACATAACCTTGTCTAATAATTTCAATTACACAAGTTTTTGAAAATCTTTTGTTTTTTTGCAGTCTGAGGCAGACGCAAAGCGAAGAGAGTTTGCATGTTTCAACAGCGATCAACTGACAACGTTAAGAGCATATAGGGTAAGTTATTTATTAACTAATATTCCATATGATATTTTGACAAGCTTGAATTTTATTTATTACATTTTAATTTAATCTTATCAAATTAGTTTTCGATTAGCTGTAAAATCCGATTTTAAATTGCCTTAATGGCATAATTTTACATAATAAATTTACTGAATTGACGACATAGTCCCTTTTGCCATTCAAAATTTAAAGGAGAGTCGCTAAAAATATGTCGTTTGACTAGGGCAGGAATGGCGTACCAATAGCACGCGTGCCTTGATGGCAACACTTGTACGATATCTTTCATTAGTAGGGAATTTAGTGCAATGATTTGTATGGAGACCCCTCCACTTTGGTATAGAAGGCTCATTTTTGCAACAGTGGTTCTTTGGGTGCTCCTGAGTGGATTTCCGTCGGTAGACATCGGGAGACCCCCCTGTGGTAGCAGGGGGAGGGGGGGCAAGTTTCCTTCCGCCGCGCTTCACTTTAAGGCCCATATCTTCAAAACTATGGGTATTAGGGCAAGTGTGGTATCATTTTCGGATAACTAAAGGATGGCGAATTCATTTCTAGAACAAACTTTTTGCCTTTTCATACAAAAAATTAGAAATATTGAGTAAAATTCACAAAAACCAAAAAGTATTTTTTTAAATAAACCTCGTTTACTTTTAAACCACTGGAGATAATCTAATAAAAAAAATATGACCTGAAAGCTACATTTATCAGGATTATAAAAATATACCATTGTATGGTTCTTTTTTCGCAAAAAGTAGGTGAAAAAAATTTTTTCTTCAGGACACAGCGGGCGAATTTTATTGCGCATCGGAAAAAAATATTTATTTTATCCATGAATTCATACTATTTGGTTCATAAGCAAGCAAGGATTATTATTTTAGAATTTATTTAGAGTTGCTGGCACATCAATCTACCATAATTTGTATTTTTTCGTCAATTGATTTTGAACTCTATGTGTGAGACATAAGGTTGAAAATAGCATAGAGTTCAAAATCAATTGACGAAAAAATACAAATTATGGTAGATTGATGTGCCAGCAACTCTAAATAAATTCTAAAATAATAATCCTTGCTTGCTTATGAACCAAATAGTATGAATTCATGGATAAAATAAATATTTTTTTCCGATGCGCAATAAAATTCGCCCGCTGTGTCCTGAAGAAAAAATTTTTTTCACCTACTTTTTGCGAAAAAAGAACCATACAATGGTATATTTTTATAATCCTGATAAATGTAACTTTCAGGTCATATTTTTTTTATTAGATTATCTCCAGTGGTTTAAAAGTAAACGAGGTTTATTTTAAAGAATACTTTTTGGTTTTTGTGAATTTTACTCAATATTTCTAATTTTTTGTATGAAAAGGCAAAAAGTTTGTTCTAGAAATGAATTCGCCATCCTTTAGTTATCCGAAAATGATACCACACTTGCCCTAATACCCATAGTTTTGAAGATATGGGCCTTAAAGTGAAGCGCGGCGGAAGGAAACTTGCCCCCCCTCCCCCTGCTACCACAGGGGGGGCTCCCGATGTCTACCGACGGAAATCCACTCAGGAGCACCCAAAGAACCACTGTTGCAAAAATGAGCCTTCTATACCAAAGTGGAGGGGTTCTTGCACTAAATTCCCTACTACATTGACAGCATTTATTTATTTATTTATTCATTTTATTTGGTGCACAAAACAGGGATACAACCATAACATACAAAGCGTTTAAAAAAATAAGCTAATTAAAAGCTAGTTTAAAGCGTTTAGGTGTTATTTGATGGCACTCAATGACTGCGTCAAGATTTTTTTGGAAAAGTGGCACGTTGATACGTAAAGAATTGCCATCCCTGGACTAGAGTGTCGACTACTAACCCTAATTATTATTTCATCATCACCAGAAATGGCAGCTAGCAATGAAGCGCAGCACGCACGCCGCTCTCGTGTTTGCATCTGAGAACTTCTTATCCCACAAGACGCTGATGATGATGGCTGACATCAAACATCAGCTGTTAGGGCTGCTAGCGAGTATTGGGTTCGTGCCTGACATGCCGGATCTGAGGAGAAAGATGCGGAAGGACTCGGTTGAAAGCCTGACGGGAGAGGTGGTAAGTGAAATTTTTAGATTTAAGTTTTATTAATTTGATCACGTTCCGTGTTTCTTTATGAGATCAAATCAGAAATGAAACTGAACTGAAAATCAGTGTCTTGGTCAACGGGCCAAGACGTTACTGAGTGAGTGGCCTTTTTGACAACTTTATTATTATTTTTTCCTTTTTTCTTTCTCCTTTTTGATGTTTGTGTTCTAAAATGAATGTATCTATTTTCTACTATTGTTGTTGTCAAATAAAGATTTTTCTTTCTTTTCTTTCTTTCTTTCTTAAAATGAGGAGATACGTAAGCGAACTAAAGTCACTGACATAGCCCGACGGATTAGCAAGCTGAAGTGGCAATGGGCAGGGCACTAGTACGCAGAACTGACGGCCTTGGGGCAGCAAGGTTCTAGAGTGGAGGCCGCAGCGTGGGACGTCCACCCACATGGTGGACCGACGATCTGATAAAGGTAGCAGGAGGGCCGCTGCCAACCGTGTGATGTGGAAGTCATTGGGGAAGCCTATGTTTAGCAGTGGACGTCCTATGGCTGAAATGATGATGATGAATTTGATCACTATCACTTAGGGTCGTCACACACGGGCTTCACGCTACAGCCATAAAACGCCGCCACTGTATGTAAATATGCCGTAGTAGCGTTTTGTGATTGTGGCGTGAAGCCCTTGTGCGGTGACCCTTAGATGTGGCCTTTATTGAGACTATTCTTAAGGAACTCTTAACCTAAAGAACATTTTATTTTTCCATCCTTGCAGAATTAAGAATCTTTTTTTAGTGTCAGAAATCTACTAAAACATTCATTTTAATTTAATTTTCAATAAATTAAATTTAACTTTTTTTTGTTTACAGCTGAATACCAACGGCAATAACGACAAGCTATTGGCTGCCATCTTGTGTGCTGCATTATACCCAAATGTTGTAAAGGTAAAAATATATTTGTCTCATAATACCTGCAGTATCAAAAACTTCAGATTAATTATTTAATTTTGACACCTTTTGTTTTGGGCAAACTTTCAGCTCATTTTGGGTGCTGCCGAATCGTTCGTTCGTTTCAGTCGAATAACGTCCACTGCTGGACGAAGGCCTCCCAAGAATTTCTACAAAAATCGGTCCTGCGCCGCCTGCATCCAAAGCGACCTGCACCAGATCGTCGGTCCACCTAGTAGCTGCCGAATGTTTGGATAAAAATGTTTGCCTTTCACTACTGCCCGCTTTGCGTGCGCTACAGCGTGGGACGTCCACCTACAAGGTGGACCGACGACATCGTAAAGGTAGCAGGGAAACGCTGGACGCTACCAATCGATCAACATGGAAAGCATTGGGGGAGGCCTATGTTCAGCAGTGGACGTCCTATGGCTGAAATGAAATGAATGAAAGATGAATTGCAACGCCCAGCAGGTTACATGTTTAGCTCTAAGTCACTAAAATTTAACATCCAATGTACTACATGATGCAATGAATAAATGAATTTGAATTTGATGATGATGACTGCCCGCTTTATAACACCAATATCTTTCCCAGGTGCTAACCCCAGAGAAATCCTTCCACATGCAAGCCGGTGGGGCCATACCCCGCCAACCAACTCCAGACGAACTCAAATTCAAGACCAAAACGGACGGATACGTCGCTTTACACCCGTCGTCCGTCAACTCTAGCGTCGGATACTTTGGTAGTCCATACTTGGTATACCAGGAAAAGGTCAAAACCTCGAGGGTCTTCATCAGGGAGTGCTCTATGGTTCCGCAGTTGCCTTTGGTGCTATTCTCAGGTGGGTTGTGATTTTTTTTGCACTATGGTTTGCTTTTCAGTGTTGTGGCGCAAGTGCACTATGCTGGAAATTTATCGAGGCGTATAGTGTAAACGCGTACTTCGGTTAGTCTCGCCGTGTGTCGTCTATACTTCGGTGTGCGGGCTCACGCTTCGTCTCGGTCAATTTTCCGCGTGTACTTGCGCCATTATATGCTATGTAATATGCTGTTATAGCCTGACCAGGAACATAAAAACCCTGGCATAGAGGCGCGTCAATTGCATTTGATAGTGCAACACTGAGTACAGTCGTACCTGTGTTAAATTAATAAGCCAACTTTATGTATCAGGATTCAGGATTACGGGCTAATTTGATATTTTCATAAATTAACGAAAAAATATTACTATAGGTAACCTGGTTTAAATAAATTAAATGAAACCATCAATCGAGCTAGTAGGATTTATTTTATTATTCATCAATAATCAAATTCAGAACTTGAATATTCAACTGCAATGTCTGCTCATGAACGCTTCAAACTCGGTACTTCTTTCCCAATTCCATAAAATTCAACACTTAGAAAGTGACAAAAAACTTTAAAATTGGTAGTTGAAACAAACCACAGCTAATTTTCATAGTGGACTGTACTATACGATAAACATGTCAGCCAATTTGACCATTGAAGTAATATTACTACGTATAGAACAGACATCGCGAACAAAATATGTACAGTGCGGGGTGCGGGGCGGGAATTTGACGGACAGCTGTCAGTCAAATCCATGACTATCAAGTTTCATAATTTATGGCGATAAAATCTGCACCAGAAAATGTCGTACTTCATTGATAGGATTGCACGAATAGTGACGTTCCGCCTCATCATAGACATTTTGAATCGATTGTGAAAATAAACAAATCGGCTAAATTGTGTTAAATTTTCATTGTGCTCAATAGCAAAAAGGTTCAGCTACTTACATTATTTTCTTTTATTATATTGTGCGTTTCCTGTAATGTAATCTAAGCTCCCCTCCCTTAGACTAAAATTAGCCCTCCTAGACAAGTGATAAAACGTAGCAGTTGAAACATTCGAAATCACTTCGCTCTGCCGTTTTTTGGTGTTAGTTACTTCACTCTGTGATGCGATTTTAAAATTACAACTGGCGATTCCGAATTCACAACTGAGGGGACTGAGGCTAATCGTGTTACCGTAACCCAAGCTTATTTAGCTTAACACAAGGGGCTGGACGGGACTATTAGTAATTTGTGCAATACAAAGTGCTTATAATCTTTAAAAAAATCTTTTTATTGCTGTATTTAACCTTCCTTTCGTATACTAATTTATGCGTCAGTGTCAAGTCTGCGATTTTTATTCTTTGAAATTTTCGTAAAATGGCTGCCGCCGCGGTGACGCCTTGTAATTAACAAATTAAAATTAAATTAGTGTTTTAAAGTGCATAAATGTACAACTTAATGGTAAAAAGTCATTCCTTGATTTTTACTTAATATGTATCTGGAGTTATTTGAACAGTATTTTCGTCTATAGGATGGCATATTTCAAAAAACAAAACTGCACTCAAGCGTATTGTCACAGCAACCGCTGAGCACATACTAATTGAATTTCGGTCCATGGACCTGTTTGCGTGCCAGAAACAGTCTAGTTGACATGTCTTCTCTAGTACGTAGTACATTATAACTCAATGAATTTGACAACCTTTGTCGGAAACATTATTCAATGAAAATATTGTCCGAACCCTTAGTATTTCTCTTCGACAAATACTTTAATACATTGTGAACCACTTTTATTTCACGACTATAAAAAGATTTTAGCAATTTAATTCACAAAATCTATTGCGTACATTTAAAATAAAGTTTGTTTACACTTTGACAGCAATAGACTGACATGCAAGGTGACATGTCAATGAAGTTTTCAGTTACTGTTGCCATTAAAAGAAATTAGTACCATTAGTTTTCCGCAACATGGCGAGGGTTTTTATGTTCCTGGTCAGGCTATAATTGCTGTTGTTATTGTTCGTATGTCGTAAGCTTTCGGAGCGTATTAAATACTAAACTTATTAATTAATTAATTTGTTATTTGTAGGTTGCAGTTTGTCGGTGGAACTACACAACGGTACATTCATCGTTTCGTTAGAAGACGGTTGGATTATGTTCCAAGTTGAGAAGCATGAGGTAAGAAAATATACATATACTGCTTTTTCCTTTATCGTGGAAACTATTGGAGTCACATCCTTGCGCCCATTCACAAACATTATTATGAGGTCTCACAGTGCGCGTGGACGCACAGGGTGACACGAGAATAAATCACAGAGCTCTATTCAACGCTGTGCGTTCGATTTGCTGCTTCACTTAAGCAAGCATCGTTTATGAATACGGGCGTTATTGATGAAGACTATGAGCCGACTAAACGCCTGACATGGGAAGTGGACCTTTTTGTTTGAGTAATAAAGTTGTTTTTAATCTAAACGGTTAAAGCTGAAGCTTAGTGGAGTTTTAGATGCTTTGTCTCTTTTTGTAAGCTATAGCCTGACCAGGAACATAAAAACCCTCGCCATGTTGCGGAAAACTAATGGTACTAATTTCTTTTAATGGCAACAGTAACTGAAAACTTCATTGACATGTCACCTTGCATGTCAGTCTATTGCTGTCAAAGTGTAAACAAACTTTATTTTAAATGTGCGCAATTGATTTTGTGAATTAAATTGCTAAAATCTTTTTATAGTCGTGAAAGAAAAGTGGTTCACAATGTGTTAAAGTATTTGTCGAAGAGAAATACTAAGGGTTCGGACAATATTTTCATTGAATAATGTTTCCGACAAAGGTTGTCAAATTGACTGACATGTTTATCGTATAGTACAGTCAACTATGAAAATTAGCTGTGGTTTGTTTCAACTACCTATTTTAAAGTTTTTTGTCACTTTGTAAGTATTGAATTTTATGGAATTGGGAAAGAAGTACCAAGTTTGAAGCGTTCATGAGCAGACATTGTAGTTGAATATTCAAGTTCAGAATTTGATTATTGATGAATAATAATAAAATCCTACTTGCTCGATTGATGGTTTCATTTATTTTATTTAAACCAGTTTACCTATAATATAATATTTTTTTGTTAATTTATGAAAATATTAAATTAGCCTATAATCCTGAATCCTGATACATAAAGTTAGCCTATTAATTTAATACAGGTACGACTGTACCCAGTGTTGCACTATCAAATGCAATTGACGCGCCTCTATGCCAGGGTTTTTATGTTCCTGGTCAGGCTATAACTTGAATATTTTTTGTTTACAGGTGGCCGAAATGTTGAAAACGATACGGATAGAACTGATCAATCTTCTAGAAGAGAAGATAAACGACCCCAGTTTAAATTTACTACATTACGAAAAAGGCAATAAAATAATTAAAACGATAGTTCAAATTATTAGCAAAGACTAGACACTGTAAAAATAATTATAATTGTAATTCAAGGTCAAGTATGAAAATCAGCCATTTTATAAAAGTCCAAACAATGAAATTTTCGGTACTAAGCACTTTCTGAAATATATTCCAGAATTGACACCTGTCATTCATAACTTGACAGCTATAACGTAATACCACAGATTTTATAAAAATGGCTGATACTAAAACTTGACTAGCATCGGAAAATGATTCTTATGACTACGATATAATGCTGTAATCAGAGCTTCTTTTACACGATAAGATATTCGAAAGTAAATTAAAATTATGAAGTATCGAAATTTAAAAATATAACAATAATCTAGTATAAATATTTGTGGTTTATTCACATTATTGTAAAAATTAAATATTTATTAAACGAATAGTCTCTCTAATCAAATGTGCTATTGTAAATATGAAATGTAAATTATGAATTCAATTTGTAATTTATTATATTTTAAAAAACATTATGTAATATTATTTCAAGGCCATTTTTTATACGAATCAAGATTTTTTAAAATACCCGTACCTTTACCTCCACTAAAAAAATATAAGCATGAATGTAGTGCGACAATATTGTTGCCAGAAGTTATTCTTATTGTTTCTGAATGAAATAGCTCGATTTCTTTCTTTCTTTTTCTTTTATGAAGGATGAAACTTAACTATAATCCTATTAGTATTAATCTAATAGTCACTTAAAATATTAATTTTTGTCTTTCCTTATCCTTTCCATTTGTTAATTCGTTATCAAATAATGCTAAAATAACATACATCCACTTTTATATGGGGTCAAGTATTAGTATTTATTTTTTATTAAAAATCTGGATTCCACTGAACAGTATTATACATACAGCAATAATAAAATAAATAACTAGAATATTTAAAATATTTTTATAAAACTAATGTGATTCATTTGGAATTAATTGAATATTCGAATTGTGTTAAAAGATGTAAATAAAATATATTATTTTGTTAAAATAATTTTTCATTTTATGTTACATGCGATAGCAGTCTGTTTGTTTAAGAAGTAGGGCTCTGTGGTAATTGTTGCACCTCGAATTTAGGACATAAAAAGTTGTTTAGCGAATAAATTGGCAAGTCTACAAGAGGTGGTGCCATTATTAAATTCTGCTATTATAGCAGTAATGTTTAATCGAACGAAATTCAAATGGTGGGCCTTTTCTTTTTCTTAAAAATATAATCGCTAATGTATCTATAATATTTGCCATATTTTTTACCCCTCAAGCTAGGGGAACATTTCGCCAACGAGTAAATTCGTTCTGTTACACCGTTCTGACAAGAACCGCTTTTAGGAACAAACCCAACAAATCTCGAACAGACGCGTTGACCGAGCGCGTGAAGTATTAGAGCCATCGATCACTGGGCGGCTAACGACTGCCGGGTCTGCCGGGCACACGCAAACGGTCGTACATCACTGGAGGTAAGTGTGAGTTGGCCGTAACATTTTTTTAGGTGTTTTTTTACCACAATTTCATCCTACTTCCTACTAATATTATAAATGCGAAAGTTCTGAATGGATGTTTGTTACTCTTTCACGCAAAAACTACTGAACGGATTTTGATGAAACTTTGCAGTATTGTAGTTTATAACCCAGAATACATATAGGCTACTATAATTTATGACGATCTGTGACAAACTAAATTTCACGCGGATGAAGCCGCGGGCAAAAGCTAGTTTATTATAATTTAATTGTCGTGCTTCAGCAAAATTCATTAACCTATTAGTTGCCAGCGCCACCTATTAGTCGTACCCATCAGTTCTCGTAATCTATACTCTTATAACCTGCTTTTAATGACTAATGCAATTTAAATCTTACAGATGGCGTTGTACACTTTTACCATTTTGGGAACATTTCCACAACTTTTTCAAAGTTCAAAAATATAAACTTAAAAATATTAACTTGAAAGTAGTGGAAGAGAAAGTGAAAATATATAAACGAAACGCTAGTTGGTAAGTAAACAAGTATTTTATCAATGCAGCAGGTATTACTCTCACGCAAAAAGACAATGGAGCTAAAATGCATGAAAATAACCTAAATAATATGCAGGTTCAATTTTACTTGTTTCATGGTAGGTACCTAATAAAAGTGGTACAAACAGATAAATTCATCTTCTAACTGTATTCACCATCCCATAACAGCCTCACCGGGAGCCCTAAATTAGAAAAAGGTCTCGATTCGCGGCGATCCAATAGGGGTGGTGGTGGATCGTAAAACGCACGTGTTTTGGCCACGCTACATGTGTACTTTAAAGGGCCAACTTTCGGGGTATGAAGGACCGGCCGAGATCGAAAGATAGGCAGGATAAGACGTGATGCGACAGGGGTAAGAAGATTGTAAGAATAAGTAGGTAGTTCCTTTAAGGATACAATTGTGAAATTTTATATATTAGGGCCATCCGTTAACTAATCGTCTTTTATTTGAATATTTGGTCATGCGTGTCACTGGCTAATTGTTTAGAAAATAATATAAGTAATTCTGTTTCGTAAAATTCCACATGCACAAAGATAGTAGTCTCACTGTGTGATCTGTAACGCCATCTATTGAGGGGTAGTAAAACTAAAGTCCAATAAGATTTATCGGACCGATTCTAATAAGAATCAATTTCGTAATTCCACTGAAAAATTAGTAGATAGAACTTAGGGTTTCGCAGGTTCCTAAGTTTGTTTTTTCTAGGTCCTAGTTCAAAAGATAGGTTTTTGTCTAACTAAACCTCAATATGTTTGTCCAATTGGACATCAGCTAACTTTCCTTTGGCTTACCCAAACCATTCCCGCCACCTCAGCATCTCTCTTCGCTCCGCCATTCTGACCCGCGTCACGTCCGGCGCCATTCAGTTAGCCCTAGTAACTCTAAAATACAGCTAAAATACATTGCACTGCAGTAGACGTAGTTAGAGATCATTTTAATAATTGCAACGAGACTCCTTGCAATGTCCTGACTGTTTTCAATCTGTTGGCCTTACCTTTCTTTGGCTTATCCACACAATTCCCGCCTGGCATCTCCCCGCTCAGCCATTCTGACGCGCGTCACGTCCGGGCCGGCCGTAATTGCCGCCGTTACGGCCGGCCCGGGGACGTGGCGGGCCGCGGCCGGCCGTTCCGGTATCAACACGCCAGATGGTAAGGGTCTGAGATTAGGTTAGCATCAGATCTGAGATATAGGTAGGTATATTTTCATTAAAGAAGGCTAGTTTAGTAGTTTTTGAATCACACAAATTACTTTTTCGGTGGCGTAAAACACTATTTCTGGGTGGTGATATAAAAGCTATGAGTGTAAGTAAAGTAACGCAATAAGTCTCAACACTGAAGGATATTAAGGACACATGGAACATTTGAACATATTTAAATTTATAGTCCTCTCCAAACGCCACATTTTCATTGTGGAAATCGCCTCATTAAAATATAGAACTATAAATTACTACAACACATACACACTACATTTCACATCATGAAGCTCGATTCTAGGTAACAAATTTTCTAGACTAGACTGAAAAGTAGGGATATTGGCATACCCAATAGATTGATAATTAATTAATTAGCATAGTTCTTGAAGGTACAAACTCTTCACAAATCATAAATGCCCTGTATAACAACATTTACCTTCTCAACTTCCACATTATCACTTCTTATCCCACAAAACTCCTACCAACCTACAAAAAACTTATATCCATATTCCATCCAAAATAACAACACGCACCCGCATTATCGCCCCGCTCATTCCATTCACGCAGGGCCGAATAAATCAACGGGAAAGCCGAAAGCCGACAATAAATTTGGCCCAATCCTGGTCATCTTGGACCCGGCCTCCGCTAACCCTGGGACGGACCTTTCCGCTAAATAAATCCCTTATCTGCATACGGCAAACCTTTCTAGGGTCCAGCTTAATAAATTCAGGTTGGGTCTGGCAAACTTTCTTGGGGACATGGTATAGAGATGATAATATGATATAGTAGTTTTTATTTTTTTATGTAATGTTAGATTGTAGAAAATAAACACATTTTATTTAGCCCAAAGTCTTTATTAAGGCTACAAGTTACAACAGAAATCCGTGTATTACATAAACAAAGGCCTTATTAGGACTACAACAAAGATCCGTGTACTTAAATTACCACTTGTAATTTTAATTTTGAACCAAAATGGCAGCCACTCAGCATGTACGAGCATTATGCTCTAGGTTAGGACCTATAGTATAATGCTGGTGTTCTGTGCTCAGTTTAACGAAAACTGGAAGGAAAACTTTTACACGTCAATGGTCCATGCAACTTTTCTTGTCAAGTAGGTACCTACATAAAAACAGCCAAATAGGATTAATGAAGCCTGTAATTTAATGACTATTGTAGATGCTTTAATTAGACTGCTATTGCGCGATTTCTTTGGATTTGGCTCTCAATTTTATTAAGAGAAGGTCAGGCATATTTTCGAAGCCTTGAAAGTGGGAAGCGTGTTCCTTTAATTAGAATTCTGCAAAAATACCTTAATAATCGTGTTTGACATGGAAATCTATTTAGTTATTTTACATTGGAAAACGGGATAGACACATTGCCATTATGGGAGTACAAGAAAATTTATGTGGAAACTAGCTTTTGCCCGCAGCTTTGCCTACGTGAAATTTTTAAAAACTATCCTATGTCCTTTCCCGGGACTCAAACTATCTCTTTGCCAAAAATCAAAATCGGTTCAGTGGGTTAGGCGTGAAAGCGTGACAGACAGACAGATACTTACTTTCGCATTTATAATATTAGTAGGGAAGTAGGGTTGAAATAAAACCAGGTATTAACAACTCTATGTAGTTCTAAACGGCCTGCTCATTTGAAAGGCGGCCGAGCGGGCGCGCGCCCAAATCAATAGTAATTCCGTGGGTAATCCGCCGCAAAAATACATAACAGCTACACGTTGTTGTTCCGTTAGTTTGTATCGTTAACGTTACCGTTGTCACTGAAATAATGACGATATTTTCTGACCGGAAAAAATAGACGAAAGTGTATGAATTTATGAAAATTTTTTGCTATTCCATACTATTTTGTTATGAGCTGCTGTGAGCTTTACTTAAGATAATAACACCAATTTTTTTAATAACTCATAGGTATATTTCACTAAAAAAATTACCCAAAATGAGATTTAGAATGCGTGAGCTGGCACCTAAGCAATTTCTTGAGAAACACTCTACAACTGCTTTTTTAAGTGGAGCAGCCAATGATTAGTATGAGGTAGAGGTGGGCGCCGATATACATTTGGCCGGCGGCGGCGCGCCGACTTTTTGACCTCGGCGGCGGCGGCGTCGGCGGCGTGACCTTGTTTGACCTTTGTTCATTGGGTTTTTTTTTAATCTGCTTTTATAGTATTTGTCGTCAAGACTAATCAGGTGATTTGCAGTTGGTTGGGGTTTGAGCCACTAGAGCAGTGGTTTATCCTAGTAAATTAGGTCTCTTNGCAAAACGCGATGACGTAAAACTCTCAATGTGCGAGGAGTTTGCCGCGAAGATCGGCTAGGTAAGTCATCGTCGGTCGCACCAGCGCCGTTAAGACAGCTAAGTCGAAGTGGTCACCATGACCGAAATCGGTCGGATGAATCAAAGACAGGCATCATAGCTGCAAGTCTCGGATTAAGTTCAATGCTTGATCTTATTTT